ACATGCTGCCACCAAGTCCCCATGGCCAGCTGCTCCATCAACATTGTATTTGATACATCCCACCCAAGGTGGTTGCCAACTACAAATCAATCGTGCTTGACTACTAAGACCATTGGCACCCGCATACAAACACGCAATAATGGCCTTTGACTGGGCAACAACAGAGAGACTTCCCTTTGATTTATAACTTTAACTTAGAGAAGATGTTGGCAAAAAAAAACGGAAAAAACGTAACTTAGAAGATATGCATGTCCAAAAATTATGGGTTTCATTTTCAATCTATTGGTACACAGTCCTTTACTTTGTAGTTTTAATTTCATCTTCCCACTGCCGATCCTGGTTCATCATCATTTTTAACTACGTAATTACCCCACGAGACGGTCACGTGCTATTTATCAAATATTGAAGCTTGTATATATTCCCCTCCAAAACAGCTTTCATGAACATGTCATTATCATTTGAAATTCTTTTATTATATTGAAGACAGTTACATAAAGTGTAGAGACAATCATGTTTCATTATGGCATGTTATGGGCTGATTTGGTTTGTGAACAATCATCCAATGCAGCGTACAGATAGCACATGCTAGTTCATTAAAATTGAGAACTACCATGCTTTATTAGCAAATGCTAATTTGAATCAATTTGCACCATCAATTTGAATCGTCAAATAAATATTCATATCCATATCCATATCAATATATAATATATAATAACACTCTAAATCTCGTAGCCTCAAGCTCATTGGTCAAGTTGTCCAGATGATGTATCTCCATCCCTGTTGATCTATTGGTTACATATTCGGCTCTATCCATGTCATTTTTCTAAGATGCATCTCTGTATTCGCTTCATCTACCCTCATCACCACCCCCTTGAAAAAAGTTGTGATCATTACTCTGCTATAGTTAGACCAATCAGATTTGCCACCACCTAATCCCCAGTTGGTGGATGAATGGAATTAAGTATTTTTCCCGCATGCTCTAACCCTGATTCCTTATACGTCGTCTTTTCGTCTCTCTATTGTAATCGTAAATCCAATTCAAAAATCGATGCCATCTTCCTCTCTGTTATTTTTCTTGCCCATGTATAAGCCACGGGTTTGGTGTATTAGACGTCATACTTAGGCATGACATTATATCTACTCATCTAATCGGATGTGTTTTCGGTGGGGTCATTAATGCTTCTCCCTCTGACTTTCTGAAGCATAATTATATACCATGGGAGTATTTCATTCCTAAGGCTAATCCAAATTTAAGTGGTGGTCCTCTCCATGTCATACATGTGTCAATGGTGTGAATTGGTATTGGGTTTGAAATTTGAATTTAAAAGAGTCTGGTCATCTCTTTAGTATCCCCAAAGTTAGCCGTTTGCGTTTCTGAGGCATTCATTAATCATTAACGAGCCTGTCAACTAATGCATCGTTCTTCCTTTTCAACAATATATATCGGTTGTGAATCGTCTTTTCCTCCAGTTCTTCTTCGAAGCCAGTTCATTCGGCTGGTACTAATTGGTATTGTGTGTTTTGTCATGTCATATATATTCACTCATTCTGATCTTTGGACGTCAGGATATAATCATCTAAAAGTTTTCACTTTTTTCATTTCTGTCCTATTTTGGCTTTTTCCAGTTATGGAGACTAATAGTGTGGCAACAGGTATGGCAATCTCTCTCCACTCTTTCTCTAATTTCATTTGACGGTCTGTTCATTATTTTTTGAGTCTAGGTTTTAAAGTACAGAAATCTTCTCCCAATGGAATCGGTAGTCTGGTATTGAAAACAAAGCGGGAAACCGTTTTCGAAGCAGAACAAGAAATTTTGTCTGATTCTTTTCATGGTCTAGTAGCCTCTCATTTTTCTGATAGGGGTGTTTGTTAAATGGGTTATTGGATAATGGTGGTTTCAGGGATCTTCATGGTTGTTTCTTTAGTTTCCACAGTTCGCTTTGCTCAATATCATTAAAAGGTACATTACAACTGCCATTTTAATTTATGCAAATGGTATTTCTTTCTTCATTTTCAAGTTTACATATGCTATTATTCTCAGTCAACTCTCTCTCTCTATCATTCAAACACGATGTCTAACCCTTTTTCTGAGTGAAAGCATGTTTCTCTATTACTATTTTAAAATACTGAATTCTCATTTCTTTTCATTAACCATTCTCAATAGCCTTTTCCTTCCATTATTTTTTTTCTTTTTGTTTTTGTTTTCAGATATGGATTAGGGTAAATTTTAATTTATGTATCGAAAAAAAAGTAAATGTTAACTTCATCTATGTATACCAAATTTTCCTTTCTTAAGGGTATGCTATTTATGAATCATTGTTGACATGTTTACAATTCAGTGCCATGTGGGCTTGATTTTGTGTATGTATTTTTATCTTTTTTATGTTCTGTACATTTTTTAGTGAATGCACCTTTGTCGTATTTTGTTATAATCTCTTAACCTTGTGCCAATTTATTTATATATTGAAGTATCATTTTCTTATATTGGAAGACGATCCCTAATTTCTATTACTTTGTGTTTGTGGTTTAGCTTCCCATTCTTGGTGGCCTTCCTTTCCTTGAGAAAAGAAATCCCATACTGCATGGATAGTTGCAAGGAAATCTGGGCAGCATCTCTCCCTCATAGATAATTAGGATGGAAAGCCTCCTGCCCTTCGTATGGTTGGTGATTTTGATGACTAAAGTTCATATTTGTACCAATTTGTCAATTTACAAAAATTACTGTTGCAAAAAGCTCTAAATTAATAGATTAGAGTCAACAATCTATTTCAAACTTACCAGTTGCCAAGTTCACCCTCAATTATTGAAGCTTGCACAATTGTATTACGAAATGGAACTTGGAATGATGGGACGTCAAGAATATAATAATACTTGATAAATTCTGTTAAAATTATTGAAAGCAAGCAACCTTCTACATTTTCAACATTATTACAACAACAAAGCCTTATCCTACTAGGTGGGGTCGGCTACATAGATTGCACGATGCCATTAAGTCCTATCCAAAGCCAAATCTTTGGATAGATTGCTAATTGAAAGAACTCTCTCAATGACTTCATTAAGTGTTGTTTTCAGCCTTCTTCTACTTCTTTTTAAAGGACTTCATATTGTTTGCTCAACTCTTCTTACCGACACATCCCAAGGTCTTCTTTGCACATGACCAAATCATCTCATTTGGTTTTCTACCATTTTCTCATCAATAGCTGTCACTCCAAATTTTTCTCTTATATGTTCATTATGGATTTTGTCTTTTCTTATATGACTACACATCCATCTCAACATTCTTATCTCAGCAATTGCCACTTTATATTCATGTTGTCCCTTTAAAGCCCAACACTCGCTGCCATATAGCATTGCCAGTCTTATAGCAGTGCTATAAAACTTTCCTTTCACCTTATTTGGTACTTTCCAATCACAGATAACTCCTGTCGCTTTTCTCCATTTAAACCACCCAACTTGAATTCTATGATTAACATCTCCATCAATTTTCTCATCTTTTTGTATAATTGATCCCAAATATTTAAACTTTTCCACTTGTTGAATGACCTGGTCTCCCAATCTGACCTCCAATTCTATACTAACTTGTCTCTTATCAAAACTGCAATGTATATATTCCGTCTTGCTTCTACTCAAATAGAAACCCTTCGATTCCAAGGTTCTTCTCCATGTCTCAAGTTTAGCACTAATCTCTTCTTTTGACTCAACTAATAGAACTATATCATCAGCAACAAGCATGCACTTCGGGATTTCTTCTTTGATATGCTCAGTTAGAACATCGAGGACTAGGTTAAACAATAAAGGCTTAGAGATTATCCCTGATGTAAGCTAATCCTTACAGGGAAGTCTTTTGTCTCACTGCCCGGTATTCTAACACTAGTTTTGACCCCCTCATACATGTCTTGTATGATTTTAATATAAGCGACACGCACCCCTTTCTTCTCTAAGGCTCTCCAAAGCACTTCTCTAGGCACATGGTCATAAGCTTTTTCCAAATCAGTAAAAATCATATCCAAGTCTCTTTTATGGCTTTGGTGCTTTTCCATTAAACCACTTAGTAAATCTTCCTAACATGAATCCAAATTGGTTTTCAGAAATACAAGTCTCCAATCTCAACTTATATTCCATCACCTTCTCCCATAATTTCATGGTATGGCTCATGAGTTTAATCCCTTTGTAACTAGCATAGTTCTAAATATCCCCTTTATTTTTGTAAATAGGTACTAAAATACTTTTCCTCCAATCATCAGGCATTTTCTTGGAGTGCAAAATCTCATTGAATAACTTAGTAAGCCACAGCACCCCTTCACCCAAACATTTTCAAACTTTAATAGGAATACCATCATGTCCAATTACTTTATTATTTTCTATTTTCTTGAGAGTTTTCTTAACTTCACTAACTCGAATTCTTCGATAAAAGTAAAATTATGTTTCTCTTCTCCAATTGTCAAATCTTCAAGCTCATAAGTCAATCCTTCACTCCCATAAATAAATAGCTTATAACAGTAGGCTTCCCAACGATCCTTAATATCACCATCACCATCAGTAACCAAAACTCTACCTTCTTTGTTCTTTATACATCTTACTTGGTCCAAATCTCTTGTTTTTCTTTCTTTATTCTTTGCGATCTTGTACATCTTTTGTTCCCCAGCCTTAGTCCCTAGATGATTATAGAACTCCTCAAAAGCTTTAGCATGAGCTTCTGCCACTACTCTCCTAGTCTTTTTTTTAGCTACACAGTACATTTCCCAATTTTCCGCATTATTATACAAATGTATTGTTTTAAAACACTCTTGTTTATGCCTACTTTTCTTTTGCACGTTCTCGTTCCACCTGCACGTCTCTTTATCTCGCCAGCCTCGACCTTTCGATTCACCCAAGATTACTTTGGCAACCTTCTGGACCTTTTTAGTCATTTCTATCCACATAAGATTAGCATTTATTTGTAGCTCCCAAACCCCTTCATTTAAAAGTGTTCTTTTGAAAATCTCTTGCTTCTCTCCCTTTAACGCCACCATTTAACCCTTGGGATTAACAGTTGTTGGCGCTTTTGTTTTATACGCTTAATAAGCACATCAAGGACCAGTACTCTATGTTGTGCTGTCACACCATCTGCAAGAATCACTTTACATTTTGTGCAGAGTTTTCTATTAGGATTCCTTACCAAAAAGAAATCGATCTGCGACCTATGGGTTCCACTCTTGTAAATGATTAAATGTTCATCCCGCTTCTTAAAACAAGTGTTAACAATCTTGAGGTTGTACGTGAGGGAGAAATCAATAATAGCTTGCCTTTCATTATTACGCACTCCAAAACCTATACCACAATGAGCCCCAGCATATTGTCTCGCGTCTTTAGCAACATGTCCATTAAAATCACCGCCAATAAAAATCTTTTCCATGGTTAGTATGCTTTGAATCAAACCCTCCATGTCCGTCCAAAATTTCTCCTTAAGATGGTCTTCTGCTCCTACTTGAGGTGCACACGCACTAATCACATTGATAGTATCCCTCCCCATAATTATTCTTAAAGAAATGATTCTGTCTTCTATCCTTTTGAATTCCACCACATTCTATTTCCATTCATTATCAATGATAATACCAGCTCCATTCCTTGTGCCTACCTTTCCCGTATACCAAAGTTTAAATCCATTAGTAAATTCGAAGGCCTTCTCTCCAATGTATTTAGTTTCTTGTAGGCACAAAATATTAATCTTCCTTTTGCCCATTACTTCCATCACCTCCCTTGATTTACCATACAGTGTGCCAACGTTCCAAGTGTCAAACCTGATCTTGCTTTTATAAACTAACTTCTTTAGCCGCCTCCGTCCATAAGAGTGCAGTGGCCCTTGCTCATTTAACACTAGATTCGGGCGACAATGCAGCGGATCTTGCTCACTTCTTACTGTACTCGAGCCATACAACGCGTCACTTCCAGGCAATGACCTAGTAGTAGCACAATTTCTTCGTTGATCCATGTCATAAAAGATTCGATAGAGTTTTACGTTGGCTGTCGAGGGCCTAACACAATCCTCCTCCTTTTCAGAGACAATAAAGCCACGTTGTTCTGCTCAGAAAGGTTTATGTTTAGTTCAGGAATGAGAGTGTTGGTAAGCATTTCATCTAGAAAGGATAACTATAACGTTCAAACTTCTTTTCTCATACAAAACTAGCTTTTCTAAGGATTTCCTTTTCGTCAATAGGCCACAATTCTTACAAGCCTCTGTCCTCATATAGAATGGATTGTGCATTCTCCATCGCAAGTCTGGTAGTTTTTGTTATGGATTTTCAGCCTGGTGAAGTCATCATTGATTTAAGCTTAATGGAAAGACTGCTTATGGCTTCTCACTGACAAGGTAAGGGGTGTGTGTGTGTCGTTGGCTCTAATGATAAAGAGATTGACCATCTGAAAACCATGCTAAAGAGAAGATTAAATTTTTACCCATTTATATGCCCCAGATATTAAACTTTACTGTTTTTGCTTGATATATGTCGCCTAGGAATTCTCAATTTGGTTTTGGAGGAACGTTCAATGGCAACCAAATTTTCTCTTAAACCTTGACCATGGTATGCTGGGAATAAATTCGAGGTAAATGCTTCTTATATTCTCTTTGTATTTTTCTTAACGTGTAAAAAACTCCACAAAAAAGTTTCTTATTAAGGATATGTTTGCATCACCGTTTGGAGGAGGAAAAGTGCTTAGGAACATGTGAAATAGCGGTTTGAAGCTTTTTTGAAGTAAACACATTTTTGGATTGCTGTTGAGTGCAAATGTAACTTTTGCCTTCTACACGGCAATTGATGGGGTCCACATGGGTGAATGACAAAATGCTTTTACTTTTTCGCCCAGAGAGAGAATGTTTTTATATAAGATTAATTTAAAAAGATTAAAAAAACTAAATAAATTATTTAATTATATTTTATGTTACATGATTTTTGTAAAATATTTATGTGTATTATTAAACTACATATTAGTTTACAACTCAAGCAAATTAATTTAAAATAAATAAATATAAATATTTCAAAATAATTTATTTAAATTTCCTAATCTTCTCAAATTAATTATATGTATTTAATTATATTCTGTGTATGTTCAAAATTTTCTCACCAATAGATATTTTTATTTTACAATTATAATTTTAATTATTTTTTTAACAATTATCATATTAATATCATATAATATAAAACACTAATATTCAATAAAGTTCATGTCTTTTTCAGTTATTTTACATCCAAACTTATTTTTTTTATTAATCATCCAAACAAGATTTAGTTTTTGTAACTGGCTTTTTATAAGCATCAATCTAAACATAAATCACATTACCTAACTGACTTTTACTCTAACTTCAATTTATAAAAGTCAGTTAGAATAAAAGTCAGTTTTGTCACCTCCAATCCAAACACACTCTAAATTGTTATGGCATGTGTGATTATATCATGAGTTAAGTCTTTACTCTTTTTTTCGATGATCAGGGAAATAAAACAGAAAAGGACAAAACTAAAAATTACGAACCACGTGATGTTCCTTGCATCTCGGAGACGCTTGGCAATGACATCGGGGAAAATTTGCAACCCATAAGGCCTTCTTCGTGAAAAAAATCAGCTTTCAATCTTTACTCCTTTCACATTAGGTCTTTTCTTTTTCTATAATTATAGTTATGCAGCCAATATAATATTTGCGACTCCCAAGAGTGAACTTTAATTTGCCTGTGAAGAAGTGCGACACATTGGAAATAATTTTGAAATTTGACATTTAGGCTGCCTAAGGATCTTTTTTCCCCCTTTGGAGGGTGGGTTAAAGGGGAGAAGTTTTCATATCCACAATTTTATTATTAAGATGTTAAAATTAAAGTAGGCTAATTGAAATATCAGAATATGGAAAAAAAAAATTTATTTAAATAGTTTAAATAATTGTTTTTTACATTCAAGGAGTGAAGAGTTACAACACAGTAGTAGTGTCTCCAGAATTTGGTGTTTAGGCTCCTTGAGGATTCTTTTAAAGGGACAATAGGAAGAAGTTTTGATATTAATAGATTAACTATTAAAATATTAAAATTTATTCAAATCAATGTTTCTTGAAATTGTTTATTTTGCTTTAGATATAAATAGATTTTTATATGCATCAATAATAGTTTTTCTTTTTAAATTTCAATTTTAATAAGTTTAGGTCTAATGTATCAAATTCAGCTTGACTGTTCAAATTCTACTACTATACATTTAACCACTTATAGTGATTTTAACTGTATTTCTTTTATGTCGGTTTTTTTTTCTTAGAATAAAAAACAATAGTTTATAAAAGAGTTAAGGTGCAATTTTAACAACAAAATTTACCCTAAGGAGCACTGGGCACCATAAAGTTTATTTGGGTGCAAAAATATACATGAAGTTGTCAAAAGAGAGCATCTGGCACCATGCCATTAACGTCTGTCAGTTTACCGTTAGAGGGGCCTAGAAAGTCAGTTTTAAGGTGCATTTTTAACAACAAAGTTTGTATCAAGGGGCATTAGGCACCATGAAATTTACTTGGGTGTAAAAATATAAATGAACTTTGTAAAAGAAAAAAATAACAACATTCTTCAACTTCCATAAACATCTATTAATTTTATTCTTTTCAGTCTCACCAAATGCTATATTTTCTCTCTATAAATTTCTACTTCCAAGCCAATCTATCTTTCTCTTATCATAGTCAACACACACACTCTCTCTATCATGTCGTTTTCTGAGCCTCCAAGTCTTTTATATGTATTTAAGCAAAACACATATTTCCCTTTTAGGATATGATGTTCATTACTTGCACCCGAGTACTACCTCTAGTCCTTAATATAGGATACAATGGACTAATTTGAGGAGATTAAAAATAAATAAATAAATTACTTTAAATATTATATTATTTATTTATTTGACGCAATAACATATAGTACATTATCTCTCTAAAATATTTATATGCATCATTAAATTATATATTAGTTTACAAGCCAAGAAAATTAATTTGGAGAAAAAACAATAAATATAATATTTTAAAGTTATTTATTTATTTATTTTTAATCTTCTCAAATTACTCCATTGCATCCTATATTAAGGACTGGAGATAGTACTTGGATGCAAACAATAAATCTCATATCCTAGAAGGGAAAGATGTGTTTTGCTTAAATACATATAAAAGGCTTGGAGGCTAAGAAAACGACATGACAGAGAGAGTATGCGTGTTGACTATGATGAGAGAAAGATAGATCGACTTGGAAGTGAAAATTGATGGAGAGAAAATATAGCATTTGGTGAGACCCAAAAGAATAAAATTAATTGACGTTTATGGAAGTTGAAAATTTTTGTTATTTTTTTTCTTTTACAAAGTTCATGTATATTTTTGCACCCAAGTAAATTTTATGGTGCCTAATGCCCCTTGATGCAAACTTTGTTATTAAAAATGCACCTTAAAACTGACTTTCTGGGCCCCTCTAACGGTAAACTGACGGATGTTAACGGCATGGTGCCAGATGCTTCCTTTTGACAACTTCATGTATATTTTTGCACCCAAATAAACTTTATGGTGCCCAGTGCCCCTTAGAGTAAACTTTATTGTTAAAATTGCACCTTAACCCTTTATAAAATTATTAAACTTGATGGTATTTTTGGTTTTCATCTATAGTTGAAAGTAAAACAAAATTTCAAAGTGGGCTAGTGAAAAAGTGAGGTGCCCTCATATGATGTATGAAATACAAAAAAAAAAAAAAAATGTAGTAGTTAAATGAATATTGTGAACTGACCTGTTCGCGTAATTCGAATTTGCTTTTAGTGTTTGTTACTGGAGGCTTCAAAACATTCTATAAATGACATTCTAAATTTGTTACAAGTGATCCTCTACCTCAATAACAATTGGTGTTATTATGAATTTTCTTGCTTTGGTGACCTAAAAATATGACATCAAACGAAACTATTAATAAGTGAGTTGTATTTAAATAAAAGTTTCTTTGTACTGTAGGCTCTATGTGTTTTATTTTCTCTCAAATAAATATAACATAATAATTTAAAATATATTTTTTTAATTTTAGTAGAGATCTATTATGTATTTATACTTTTCATTTTTAAAATAATTGATAATCCTTTATTTAACTGATAAACATAATTATTTAATATGTTTAACCTATTTACATTTATTTTGAATTATTTTAATATTGAAGTTTTATAAATTTTTGTTTTATATTACAATATATTTTCATTTAAAATAAACAAACTAGACTATTTTAAATTTCTTTTCATACCTAAATATTTGAGGTATATAGAGAACTTTAAAAATATACAAATAAAAAAGTAGATATATAAATAAAATTTGATAAATAATTTTAAATTATGTTTTAGTCTCATAATTTTGATTAAATTTATTTAAAATTTCTTTTGTATATATACATCATAGTCTGTTAGCATAATAGTGTTAATCTTCTAGCTAGCTAAGATTAGTTTGTTTCATGAAAAAATTGATATAATAAAAATTATATATTTAAAGTATGATTACTTGTATAACTAAATTTTATATATTAAGTCTTTATGTTAAAAATTAATCATAATCTATCGTCCAATTGCATCATTTCAATATCTCAATGAAAAAATCCTTTAAATTAACCATAAAATCTTAGAATAGATGTTATTAAAAAAAAAAATCCTAGAATAGACTGTAACCCAGATTCATATAAATCCTCATCCCTTAACATTATGTTTGGTATAGGGTTTTTGCCTCTTTCCTGATTTGGTTGGTACATTTTTTCAGAAAAGGAAGGAGTTATTTCCCTTTTTTTGTTTGATTGAAATATTTTTTTAAAGAAGGGAGGGGCTCTTTCTTTCCCTTTTCTTTTTCCCCCTTTCTAGCCTCCCCTCCAAAAGTGGAGTTTTTTTTTTTATAGAAGAAATGAAAGATAAAATTTTAAGTTTTAAAATTCACTCAATTAAAGTACTTTAATCCCTCCTATACTATTTCGATATGTTA